CCTACATCTTGTATTGCTTGCTCTACTTTCCATAACAAAACTCTTCTGTCATCGCCACCTGTTAAATTAATAGTAAGATATTTTGATATCACATTATACTTTTATTTTAATCTTATGATTAATGTATCATGAAAACATATATCTAAAATATAATGTTTGTTTTACATAATTGTACAATTATTTAGATGATTAAACGGTTTCAATTTTCCGTCGAACTTTAATTTTCTAAGACGACGGGCATAATACCGTATAAAACGAAATAAATTGAATATATTATTAATTTTTTACCGGAAACGAGAAGATCCCCTTGATTCGAAAATTCAATCGCATTAACGCATCCATAATGCGATAGTAGATCTTTCCTGAACAGATTGTCGGAATTTTCGAACCTGGCGTTAACGAGACGTTTGCAATAATCGACTTTGTCGTCGATTTGTCTTGCGATGAGATACGAAAGCGGATTACTATCGGAAGGACGAGCCATTTCTTCTTTGCAGATACTGATATGTATACGAAAACGGATAGAACCGTCGTCTTCACCCTTCGTCCCTTTCTTCCATGTATCCTGTAACTAACGCCCGTATTCTCTTCTTCGGTTAAGTATCCTTCGTTCACCTCAAGATTCTAAGATACTAATTTAATTTCTAAGATATCTTCCAGATATCTCACTATATTACAAGATATTTCACGTACTAAAAAAAACGAAGAAACCTCCAGAATAGGAAAATTTGTGGCGCAATCAAATTTACGGGATTGTTATAGGTTGAAACTATTATAAGTTTTGTCGTAGTCAATCTTATATATTTATTCTGTGACAGACGTGTCGCGAGTATACGCCTCACAAACTCACACAAACATAGGCCGCACGAGGTGCGTATCACGCACCAACGCACTTCTGAACGCGACCAAAGTATGTAGATATCTACATACACACAACCGTTTCAACTCACCCGAGCAGATTGTCTTACTCGAGCACGATCAGCTGATCGCTAGTCAGCGGCTCCACGTTGCGGTAATTTTATCAATTTTTCTCCTTCAATTTCTTACTAATATCTTTAATACACATATTCTTAATTATATAATTATATTAAATCTAAATATTTCTTTCCTATTTTCCAATCATTTTTTATGTTTTATTTTTATGTGCAAGTGTCACTCACGATTACAACTTCGACTTAGAAAAACAAGAAGCATGGATACCGGCGCCACGTTGCGAGTTTCACGCGTACTTCTTACTGGACCTCCTGGTAAGTCCGCGATTTTTAAAAATTATGAGGTGTTCCAAAAATCACTCATTACTAACCTTTACATATCTTTAATGTTCAAATTATTTTATATTTCTTGTTTTATTAATTTAAATCACCGGCATATAGCATGTGTAAATTCAACAACATTATGTAATTAATATAAAAGAAAGGAAACATATTTTCTTAGTTAATTTTTCAATTTATTATATGTAAAAGAAGTTTATGGTAATTTTGATTTAATTACAATTATGTATAGGCATAGGAAAAACTACATTATGTAAAAAGTTAGCTTCTATTATGGAGGAACAAAATTATAAGTTTAATGGATTTTATACTGAAGAAGTACGAGGTCAAAGTAATAGCAGAATTGGATTTGATGTTGTATTGGTGAAAAATCATGAAAAAAGATCAACATTGGCACGAATTGAGTTAGTATTAATTCGTAAATATATAAAATTTAATTTTCTTTATCTCAAATAATACTATTTGTAAACAGAAATGTAATAAACCAGTCGCAATATTCTAAGTACAGAGTGGGAAACTATCATGTGTTTCTTAATGAATTTGAAGCAACAGCATTACCTATCTTTGATTCCAAAGCAGTAAGCAGATTAGTTTTATATATTACATGCATATTTACATAATTATATTTAAGTCACTAATTTCTTATTTCCTTAGGATATATTAATAATAGACGAAGTTGGGAAAATGGAGTTATTTAGCCAGAAATTTCATGATAAAATAATAGAATTATTTTTTGGAACTTCAAGCAAACCTTTTATAATTGCAACAATACCTCAAATACATAAGGTACCGCAACGATATTTATCATTATTCCAGAGACTTCATGCAGATAAAAGATGTAAACTTATAACTGTGAATCATCAAAATCGAAATAATTTAGCAGAAGAAATTTTTCCACTTATTTTATAAGGTACAATGTCTCTTTTTTTTTGGAAGAAAAACAATATAAATTTTAAATACATTATAAACATCGTTTATTATTAACAAAAAAACAAAATGTTAGATTAAAAAAATCCTTCCAATCACGTTAAATTTGTAAAAAAAGTATTCATCACAAATAACGTGATAAATAGTGACTGGCTGGAAAATTGTACTACATAGTCATGCTAAATTGCATATGTATTAGATACTTTTATAATTATTGTTTTGTACCACCATTATTCATTAAAGAACAAATTAAAAGAATAACAGGTGTGTTCATTACATGTTCAGCACCTTTCGTAAATATTAGAATATAAGTTAATCTGTTGAGATCTTTGAGATCATTTATTCAGCTTGTGCGTGAACATTAATATCTTTAGTGAATAAGGTGGTTTAATTGAGGGTACAAAATAAAAACGTTCTCTTTGCGTCATTACATTACAATGAAACACAAATTGCTAATGAGGCATTGTTCTTATCGTAGACAAGAAAATTTGATACATTTGTTCACTAGTTGTCAAAACAAGCACACTTTTTTCATTTTTGTACCCATCAATATTATATTTTCATTGAATTTATTATGATACAGAAGATTTTCTTGTTCCTAGAAAGAATACAGTACTTTATTGTTTTGGAGAAGCCTAAGCATTTCTCACCTCCATTTCGGTATCAAATATATTACGCACACTTTGATTGGGCTACTCGTATTCCGTTATTGTTATTCAGTTATTTATCAATAGTACCTAGGATGTTCCACTAGCACAATTTTAATAGAGAATTAGCATATGCCATTGGTTTTACATCTGGATGAGGCTAAAAAGAAAAGAATATACTCATGTAGTACAATTAAAAATGATTGAAACTACGAATTAGCTTGAAACATACCACTTCTTCATATGATGTGAAATGAGGTACCAGATCGTTGCCATAAAGTGTGATAAAGGCACCCCGGTTACCCATAATATCACTATATATAAAAAATAAAATTAATATACAGTGTGACTACATTAAAGATCGATATTGTAATAAAATTCAAAATAATAATACACGTTGACATACCAATAATTTGGAGCAGAGAATACGGTAATACATTTTCCATTATGACCAACTTCGTATCCCTCATTTTTTACTTCATGACTTCTTATAATATAATCAAGATTGTTTAGGGTAAGAAAATTTTGTGTAATATCAGGACCAAATTGGACACCAACACCTCTTTTACTGGGTGCTTTTCCAGGTTGTGGTTGGGGATCTGACCATAACAAGTCACACATTAATCCTTCTTCTGGTGGTTGCCTATTTCTATTAATTTCTCGAATGTCATTTAATGTAACATTATCTCTTGAAAATAGACCACCATGCATTACCTATGAAATCCACAAACTTATATAATTTATGTGTACATCATTGTACAGTTACATAAATTTTAAACCTCTTTTTTCAGTGTAATATAAACTTACAAGTATTCTATTATTAAGACAATGGGCAAGAGGGAGCCAATTATAAACTTCTGTAAATAATAAAGCCATTTGAGCGGAATATTTTGCTCTGACTTCACCATCAAATCCATACATTTGATTCATTGTGGCAGATTCATGGTTACCTAAACATTATATTTTATATGGAATATATATAATATGTTAATAATCTAAATAGAATCATAAAAACTTACCTCTAGACATAAAAAAGTGATTTGGATATAACAATTTAAATCCAAATAAGGTGAATATACATTCTACAGAAAAGGAGCCCCTATCTACAAAATCTCCATTGAATAACTATGTAACTGTTAAGAAACATATGACATAATTGTACTTATACCAGTGATGTATTATTCTTAACAAATTTGAAGTGTAATAAATAGATCTTTTTAAATTTAAAATGTAATATTATAACATATCTACTATTATAAAGGATACATATGGATTAGTTTCTGATGGTAATCCATTTAATTCAAATATATTAAGTAAATCATAGTACTGTCCATGTATATCTCCACAAATAGTAAATTTACTATCTTCAGGAATTGTAACATCAACTAGGCTTGGTTGTGCCATAAACCATGCTTTTACATCTAAAAGAATTTTATAAGCATATTTACGATGTAATTTATTTTGTTTCTTATACCATTTTAATAGATCTTGCATAAATTGTAATGTAACTTTTTCATCTTCAAGTTTAGGACCTGTATATTCATCTTCAATAGCTATAAAATATAAAAATGCATATTGAAATTCTTTTAGCAATATTCCAATTCATTACATAACTATAATCATAACAGATTAAACATAATTTACCCATAGTTTCTAAATTAATCGTATCAGCTATGTTCTTTTTATTTTCGTCTAGTGCAATTGCCTTTTTAAAAGCTAACATTTTTAATATTTTATAACATTCTGTGTATTTAAGTAATGCATCTTTATCATTTGGTCTTGCTTTAGTAACAGTTTTGTAGTCGTTAAGAGCTAGTTTGAACTTGCCAAGTGACATATGAGCTGCAGCTCTACGATAATATCCTTTCACATAATGTTTATTTAATTCAAGAGCTTTTGTTGCATCTCTAAGTGCATAACCATAACATTCTGTTTTTAGATATGCAAAACTTCTGTTTCCATAATAAAGTGCCACTGTAGGATTTAATTCTATGGCTTTAGTGTAAAGTACTACAGCTTTGGCATAATCTTGATCTAAAAAAAAAGAAAAGGGGAAAAAATGTAGTTAAAAATAAGATACTTCAAAATAACAATTATAATTAATTTTTAATTATTTTAAATATATAAACTAAAAGCAGAAAAAATTAATTTTTATTTTGCTACAACGATTATGCTATATAAAGATTTTTACATTGTCAAAACGAAATGAGTACGAAAAATTTGACAGATAAAGTAAAATATATTACATAAAGATAAATGTCATTTAAACCGAAAGATATCATAAATAAAAATAATTATTTAAGATAGACCAGTAATAACAATATGACAAACAGTATAAATGTTTTAAATGTTAAGTCTCTGATAACTGAATTCCTAGATAATTTAATGATCATTTACGTTACGAAAGTTGGGTTAGTTTTAAATGTACACGTGACTAAATTATATTGCTTTAATGATAATTATAAATATTTTTTAACTTGGTGGTTAAGTGGAAAGTAAATCAGAAAAACAAATTTATAGGAAAATTTTGTAAACGCACTTTTGAAATATTCATTTGCTTCTTCTTTCAATTTTTCCGCACTGGCTGCATCTTCTGGCGATATTACTCCAGTAATTTCTGCGTTCTCACTCATTTCGCAGTTTATCTAATAAACTAATAAGATGATGTAAAATGACTTAAATTATATCGAAACGTAGACAATAAATAACACATTAAAGAAACAATAACTTTTTTTATGTAACGGTCTTTATTGCAGACACACTGAATATCGCGAAACCTACTCAACTACCCCATGAAGCGATTCGATCGATCGAAGTCGAGAAACAACGAGAACTATCTATCATTAGGATTCAAATAGTATATAACTATATTGGTATGCTATAAGTAATACAACTAATAGTAGACAATAAATAACACATTAAAGAAATAATAACTATTTTATATAATGGTTTTTATTGCAGACACATTGAATATCCCAAAACTTACTTAACTACCCCATGAAGCGATTCGATCGATCGAAGTGGAGAAGCAACGAGGACTATCTATTATTATGATTCAAATAATATATAATTATATTAGTATACTATAAATATACTATAAGTAATATAATTAATAGTATACCATATAAGTAATAAAAGATTTTCGTGTATAGTCTTCATAATAAAATTTTATAACTTTCGTAACATAACATCATCCTACATGTTTCTTTGTGGCCTTGAAATCATTTAATTTAATATATAGCAAAATGATCATAATAATTTAAGAATAGAAATAAAATATTTTCAATTGTTGTCTACATTGTGTGAACTTACCTTCAAATGATTATTTTGGTTGACTACATTAAATATCGTACTTGTAAATCTTTTTTTTCTAATATCATAAAAATAAATCTTATGGTATAAGTAGTTCAAAACTCTACCATCACGCGCTCTGGATTTTAGAATGAATAATGTTCAGAGCATAAAAGAGTTGGTTGGTCTACAGTTGATGGCATTCATGGTATGTTAAAAAAACTTGCGTATTCAGAAGAAGATATTATGACGTCAGAAAAGAAGGTTTGTGTAATATATGTGTTGAAAGTGTGGCCGCATTTCTTAAAAAGAAAGTTTTTCTATATAGTATCTTTCTTACATTTTTAGTTAAACGTTTTGTACTGAAGTCGTCATTTAAAATTCAAGGTCATTGATTTAGTTAACCTATACTTTACATGGCATATGTATTGTAAAAAAATTTACATGTATAATGTATTTCATTTTAAACTCTTGAATACTCTTTAAAAGGAACATATAGTACCGTGATGGCTAAAGTGATCAGAAAAGTGTGTGCTGCTGCACGAAGTTTAACATCTACAATGAGAAATTTTGGAAGTGCTCAACCAGCTCCCTTACAACAAGCTGCTTTAGAGGAACGTTGTATTCTTGTTGATGCATTTGACAAACCCCTTGGTGAAGCTACAAAAAGGGATTGTCATACTGTTAATTCTGATGGAAAAGTTTTACTTCATAGAGCATTTAGTGTTTTCTTATTCAATAATAAAGGAGAATTATTATTGCAAAAAAGATCTGCTAATAAGGTAAGCACATATTATATGTACAAAATTTTATATTTGTATTAAGAAGTATATTGAATTAATATCAAATAATATTTTTTTGTAGATAACATTTCCAAACCATTATACAAATACATGTTGTAGTCATCCATTAGCTGAAATTCCTGAAGAAACTGAGGAACATAAGGCAATAGGAATTTGTAGAGCAGCACGAAGAAGACTTAGTTATGAATTAGGGATTCCTTTGTCACAAATTCTGTTATCGGATTTCTTATATCTAACAAGAATTCATTATCAAGCAGTGGATGGTTTATGGGGTGAACATGAAATAGATTATGTATTATTTATACAAAAAGATAATGTAACATTGGATCCAAATCCAGATGAAGTTAGTGAACTTCGTTGGGTATCACAGCCAGAAATGAACGATTTCGTGAAAAATCTCAATTCTCCGCTAAGTCCTTGGTTCAAATTAATCCTTAAACATAAATTGTCACTGTGGTGGAATAATCTCCATACATTAGAAAAAATACAAGATCATGATGCAATACAAAGATTTACATAAAATTTTTAAATGAAAATTTGAATAAAATTAAATAATTTCATTTATTTTATTTTAATCTTTTTTCTAAAATGCAGTGTTAGTTATAATATACATTTATTAACAGACTAGAATGTATATAATTACACATTCTATGAAAATTTAGTATTTAACCATTGTTCAAACATTTAAATAATTAATAGAATTAAGTTTTAGTGTACAGATTATACAATATGATTAGTTATCATAAGATCAGTTGTATGCTGGCTATGTAATGCAGAATAAGTACAATGTAAATTGCTTCATGTAATTTTGTAATTTGTAAATATTGAAAAATGCTATATAATTTTGATAACTTTTGTGAATAATTATCATGAAACAATTTATGTATTTGTATAAATTTTGTGAATACATTTTTGTCACATAAAAAATAAGTTTGTATATATGCAATAAGATAACAAATAATCTTTTCTAAAAACAATTTTTTTATAAAAGCTTATGTAAATAAAAAGTACTAATTATAAACATGAAAATATGAAAAATTTGCACCATAATGAACATTAGAAATTAAGTAGTTGACTATTTATGCATATATCTTTAAACCTTGTCTATCAACATGAAAATTTATTCATTATTAAGTTTCATAGTAGAAATATTTTTAATTATTCATTGAATGTAATATTTACAGTATATATAAAATAAAATCAAATAAAAATTATTAACATGTTCTAGTTTGTTTGATACTTTAGATGTTAATAAAAAAGATAATTTGGTTTTCCAATATTACAAATTGTTAAAATAATATACTATTTTATTTATCATTTTGTCAATTATTTTATAATAATTATATAATATCTTATATATTATATAAAATAATATTTGTATATGTCATGCTATCTGAAAATATTCCAATATGATTCAATAATACTCCAATTAATGCTTTAATTATAATCTTAAAATTTTATTATATTTATATATTATTAGATGCATGGTTATGAAATTCTAATTTTATAAAGCAGAATTATAAACTTTTATAAAGCACAGTTTTTCTTTTAACATGTAAAGTATCGTTTTAGATAAGAAACTAATAGTTATTCAAGTAGAATGCAAAGAAGATTTTTTAGTTTTCTTGGGTGTACATTCAGTGAGCCATCAAATTATTCACTCAATCGATAATGCGGAAAAGATGAATGAAGTTCTTTTCGAAATGAGACAACGAAGAATTTTGTGAAGCTCTTTTATTTGGATATACACGGTGTCCACGTTAAGGTTTGTTATCATTTTTTCCGAACTTTCTTTTACGTAATTTCGTTTCACGTCCTTGAACTGAAACATTCTCTTGATTGAATTAAATTTACTTGTTTGTTATTTTTAGTTTAGTTCTTCATTTTGGTACAACCTAAAGTACAACCTACGTACCAGATTGTTAAATAAAAAATTCGACATAACATTAACAATGGTTTCATTAAGCTTGTATGACAATCATATATTTAATTTCATCCTTGATTGTATGGCGCTAGTTTCGAATAGTATTATTTTTCAAACGTTCGTGAATCTATTTGAATATTCCTTCCATGATTTCCATTATAGTTAATATTTATTTAATTTTATTAAAATAATGTAAATTACGCTTGGAAATTATTCGACACAGAATGTCTCGTACGCAGATAGACAATTACATAAGTACGGAAGATAACATGTAAGATGAGAAGCAACCTAGTTGAAACACGTACCTCCTTTATTGCCGTAATTATTAGTGTATTTTCCCTTCCCTTTCATGTGGTCCATTCATGACAAGCTTCTTCGTGGGTGGGCTATATAAACCTGTTTATTTCTGTTCCTCATTCTTTTGTGTTCCGCAGGAGGTATCTCGTAAACATCGCGCATAATGTTCTGATCATTCTTCCTAGTGAATTGTGTTTGAAAGTGCCCAAAAAAAGAGTGTTTTCTTGTGTTATATATTCGGTTACTTCTCACTGGATTTTTATCGTTCCATTCTATCGTTTACCTTTGCGAAGAATGCGTCGGTTTCCCACTACTTGGATTAGCACGTCTTTACTACCTCTATTGTTATTCATCGACTGTACAGTTGGCCTATATGATGAACCGGCACCCCACATTATCGTGTTCATGGCAGACGATTTGGTAAGATTAATACACTTCTAGGAAAATTAATAAATGTTATCTTAATCATTTTTTTACTTTATAGGCAGTTATAAATTATATTTATTGCTTACTAACGACGCAAGTCTGAAGTATAAAATTTGAATAATTTTCTAGGAATTTAAAAATTAACGAGTTTCGTTTAAAATGTGTGTAAAAGATGTAAATTACCTATAGTGTAAAATAAGATACGTACAAAGCTGAAGGATTTTAGAACGTTTTTATAAATAATTTAGTAAAAAATGAATTAACCTATTTCTAGCGTTATAACCTAAATTTTACGTTAGTTCAACATGAAGGAAGAAGAAATCGCTTACAATGCAAATTGTAACAATTTTTATATTACTTATGCTTACCCACTTTGCTTAATTCGCTATGATTAATCTGTAGTACGAAAGCGTTTTGAATTAAAATTGTCCTTAGTTAAGGCAATTATCGTAGCTTGAAAATTACCTACGCCCCCGTATCTAACAAGGATGCTAGTATTTGTGACTCACATTAACGGGAAAACAAAAATTTCCCTCTTCTCCACCACGACATATCAATTACAAAGATTATGCCGTCATATTTTATTATATAATCGTTTGTCATTTCGTGCATAAACGAATAAACATAATTTATCCCAAGGTTACATGATTTTAATACCTGGAATGTTAAAAAAGATTCGTCGTATAAGTATGTTTATAGAAAATATGAAAATAAATTTGAAATATTTTTTCTCACATCTTGTGTATACTTTGTTGCATATCTGACCATAAATATTTGTTTTCCTATTCAAACACTGCAGTATTTGTTTCAATCCACATATCGATTAACACATTTCGTATCTCGAGACAGTTAAAAGCACCTACAACACTTTAAAAGAAAATAAAAAACTTATAATAAAGTAGTTGGTTGTAATAAAGATAGTAATAAATTTAAATTCTTGATGTATCTATACTTTAATTTTCTTTTACATACATGTTATTAGAAAAATTAATCAAAGAATATCTATGCTCGATAACAGTTTTACTTTTGAATTTTTACCTTTATTTGCTAAATGTCCCTATCACTGGTTTTTACACATGCAAACGATATGTAATTATATAAAATAAAATATGAATTTTATATATAAATTTTAAATCCTAAATGGGAAGTTAACCTTTTTTATAATGATACGAGAAGGGATTTATAGTTTACATTGTTTGGTAGGGGTGGGACGATGTTGGTTTTCATGGATCGGATCAGATACCAACCCCTAACATCGACGCAACGTATTACCGACAAGCACGCCATCTAGGATAGCATTTTTCACTGGACTGTACCCGATACGTATTGGTATGTATATTTGAAAATAAAGTAGATAAAATTGATATCAATTGTCGATAAAATAGTATTTGATAAATGATACATATTTGTTCACAAAATTCAAAATTTGGAAAAGTAATATATCAATGTTAATTTTGAAATAACAATGTGAAAGAAACTTCAAATATAGGCTATTCCATTTTAATTCTTACATAGGAAGATACACCTACTAATAATAAATGATCATTCACAATAATTATGTAATTCTTAATGTGTTTAAATGGTCTTGAGAGATCAATGTATTATAAGTCGATAAAATTGTTTTAATATAAATTTAATATTGACTTTACGTTTAACTAAAAAGATAGATACAGTTTTACTAAAAAAAAAGTCACTTTTAATTTAAAAAAATATTTCTATTTAGGCAAAATGTAAGTGCATCTAATCTTAAAATATTTACGGTCGATAATTTTAATCTGATGTTAAAGAAGAGAATTTTAAAAGCTTATTTCTAAATATAGTTTCTATATTATTTAATAGTATTAATTTAAAATACTTATTAGTATTATAACTGCAATAGATACGAAAAATTTTCTTTTTTAATAATGTTATCGACAATTGGTTAGTCTAGTCATAAATTTCACTTTAGCCATGGAAAGATATAATAATAAATGAGCAATTGTTAATCTTGCTCCTATTTCTCTTGATGTAAGCTTAATTCTATATGAAACATTCCAATAATGAACAATTTTGAAGTCATTTGTTGAAAGAATAAACTGAAGCAACCAATAAATACACTTTGATGAAAAGCACCTAAAGCATATCAACGTGATTTACAAAATTTTATGACTACCTTGTATTTATTAGTTAAATTTATACGTTTAAACTTCTTAAAATTTATTTCATACGAGACAGATTTATTTGTTTGAAATTAAATACATATTTGCCGATATTGTTAAAGTATATGTATAATATTCAACGAATATTTGCACAAAATCATATTCAAAATAATATAGTTTGAAATTGTTTATTTATTTAGGGATGCAAGGAGCTGGAATTCGTGGTGGTGAACCACGTGGTCTTCCATTGAATATTAAAATTTTACCGGAACATTTGCGAGGTTTAGGATATACCACGAAATTAATTGGGAAATGGCACATGGGGTACCATACACCTCAACACACGCCGAGGCACAGGGGCTTCGATTCTTTCCTTGGATTTTACAATAGCTATATTTCTTATTACGATTATAAGTATTCGAACCAGGTGAGTTAAATATTATGAGGAACAATATATTTTCATATTTCAATTTTCAATTAGATTAAATTCATAGTTGAGAAACATGTTAACTAATAATAGTTCCTTGCATGTTTTAAAAATAATTTTCGTATTTAAATGGAAGTCAATTGGAAATTATCGAATTAAAGCTTCTCTGTCTTTTTCTAATCATTTGTCTACGTCTATCACGCTACATGGTTTTAAACGACTTCCTCACGCATTCTGTGTTCCTGCTACTTATCCCGAGCTTCGAGCCCAAAATCATAGATGGCACTGATTTTACTTGAATAGGTTACTAACTCTGGTTATGTGCCCCTAATACATTTTAATAAATCAATTCGGCAGTGGAAAATTAACAAATTACACGATTTATGTAATTAATTTATGAACTTTTATAATTGCATCGTGAAGATGAATCCTTAAGAAATTTTCCAATATAATTTTGCATATAAATTTCTTGTTAATTAATTGATTATTAATAATTATTATTTTATTGGTTTGTCATTGATAACTCTCCTCTGTGCAAATAATTTATGAATTACATAAACGCATTATGAAAACAATATTCTTGGGAATGTTCCCATATCGTATTTGTTCATATTTTATTCCTAGTTTTGTTCATAATTAAATATTTTCACTGACATACTTGGCGATCGTTGTTATCAAATCACGTACGCCATTAAATAATTATTAATAAACAAATTAATTAGCATCAAATTATGCATGAATATTACATGAGAATGTTGTCCGAAGTTTCTTCTGTGCGATGCAGTTATAAAAGTTCATAAATTAATCATAGAAACAGAGTAATTTGTTAATTTTCATTGCTGGTACTTCTCTGTCCTTTTCTAACCATCTTCTGTCCTCGTCTTTCACGCCATCTTTGTTTAGACGACCTCCTCGCGCATTCTATGTTCCTATTACTTTTCCGAGCTTCGAGTCCAAAATCATAGATGGCGCTGGGGGTATGTCTCTTAAATATTTATCCTTGTATATCTTATTGAAGGAATTATCGCGGTATGAAGGGGTTGCATTAGGGGCATACTGAATTTATTTATTATCAGATTGCTACACATTTTAGACATCTTTTTTAATCCTTTGTTATTTGTACAATAATAAAAGGAGATACAGTTATTATCTGTAAATTACTAATAATTTTAACAATTTATCTTCACTAATAATTATTAATTAATATTATTTATTATTATTTGTTATTAATTAATATATCATTGTTTACTTAGAATTTGGACAATGTAAAAATCGACGCCAAAGTCGTCGCTCAATAGATCTCATCATTCACATATATAACATATACACATTTTCACATTCTTTTTATACTAGTCGCAGGATTATAAGTTTGAGCAATGTAAACGAAATTACGTATAAGTCATATCAATTAATTAATATATTTAATTAATTTAAAGTAATAAAATAAAATTAATTATACGATAATATTACATAGGAATTATATAATAATATTTTATTTGTGTGTTCCCAGAACATGAGTGGATATGACATGCATCGTGGAGACGATCCAGCTCATGGAATGCAACGCGAGTATGCGACAGATTTGTTCACCAAAGAGGCGATCAGTATCATAGAAGATCACGAAATCAGTAGACCTCTTTATCTTCAGATTTCGCATCTCGCAGTCCACGCTCCCCTGGAGCAACCTGGAAACGAATATGGCAGGGATACCATACAGATTCGTGAACCAAATCGCAGTAGATATGCAAGTATGTATACAAAGGGATCATGAGAATCTTCGTAGAAACCATGTCAAACACTATTCTTCTATATCTTACCTCTAATGAATCACAAGCGAATGAAGAAGCATGCACATTATATCAAACGAATCCAAAAAATTAAGACGAATTAAATTCGAAGCTTTGAATGAAAAAATTTTGTTTTTCATTTTGGACGTGTTTTTGTTTTTACCGTTGCTGGGACGTCCTGTATATCTACATACTCTATACAACAAAATTTTTATCAATAAGAAACCTAATATGACAGACGTTCCCGTTAATTTAAAGAAAAATTCCGATCCATTTCATTCATCAAAAAAAAAAAAAAGAAAAATCCAACCACTTGGAACAGGTAGGAACACCATTGTCACGGTCATGCATGTAACTCCAATATAATAAAATTTAGTTGGAAGATAAAATTTAAATCGACGACGGTGTACAAGGTTTATCTCGCCAAGAAGTGTCGTTATCTTAATTCGTATTTGTCTTTTACGATCCCATAATTCACGTGTAATCGAACATGCTTGTTCTATTATTTTAGAAATGGTGTCGAAATTGGACGAGTCAGTGGGACGCGTAGTTCACGCGTTAGGCGAGAAAGGAATGCTGAGGAACTCCGTGATCCTGTTCCTCACCGATAACGGAGCTCCGTCGGTCGGTAGATACAGGAATTATGGCTCGAACTATCCCTTCAGAGGGGTAAGATCACGTCGTTAAGACAGTGCTTTTATTCAATTGTAGGTGAATTAACATAATTAATCGTGTGGACCATCCATTTGACCGAATTGTCCACTTAAGCAGTCCACGGTCAAACAAAAATTATCAGTACATGTGCGACTTAAAGTAATCTCTTTACTCGAGTATTCGTGGTAAAACTGCTGCAAAGTTAATCGATTGTCGATGTTACGTATTCTTCTTCTTTATTTTTCGAGCAAATTGGTGGAATTTTTACAACATAAAGTCACCAGGACTGAGCAAATAACATAAATTTGTCGTTGATACCGAGATTTTTGTACAGATAAAATTTCTGCTTCATGCCTGATGTATTGTTGACTTTAAAAACGCGAAATCTGATTTCTTTTTTCGTTTCAAATTTCGTATTTAAATATTTTGTCATTGCAAGTGGAAATATTTCGGGGATACAAAAATTTGCACTGAATATTTTATTTTTGATCACAGAGAGTGTGTTATAATATCGACAAATCGTTTTTAATTTGTATCCTAGAAATTACTGTAAAATGAAGGTATAAATGGCCATGATTGAGCCTGAATTCTGGCCATTTAAGCGGACATATTATTTATATTTATACTTATAGCAAAATATACACTATTATTTGGTATATAATGTATATTATTATCTTACGTAGTCAATACTATTTGTAAAAATTCTATTTATAATAATAATATCATAGTTTAATAATATTATAGTTTCAAGCAGATGTACAATACATATTACTCGATATTTTAACCTTAAAATAGTGACGTACTTCAAGTTAACTCCTAATACTAGTGATGATGTACGTCAGATTAACTGGCTACAATAGTAATGACTTAAAGTTAAATTGATTTTCTGTCAATAGTGATGACTCGAAGTCAAATTGACTCGACAATGTATCGTCAGTGGCGAGATCTATCTAGTAGTATACCTACAAAATCTAGGTACCTAAGGATACATCGAATTGACATTATGTCACTACTAGCAATACGGAGTCAATTGAACTTCGAGTCATCACTATTGACAGAGAGTCAATTTGACGTCACGTTACCGCTAGTGCTAGGAAAATAGTGGTCACCACTTGAAGGTTAACTTATAAAATTGTGACCGTTATTGCGTCATTACTTCATTTACGAGAGATTTAACCAGAAAGATCCCTAGAAATTGTTGAATCCCTAGAAAATTCACGCCAAGTCACCACTATCGATTAGAAGTGAATTTGACATCACGTTGCCACTAGTGCTAGGAACATAGTGGTCACCACTTGGAGGTTAACTCATAAAATTGCGATCGTTATTGCGTCATTACTTCATTTACGAGAGATTTAACCAGAAAGATCCCTAGAAATTGTTGAATCCCTAGAAAATTCACGTCAAGTCACCACTATCGATAGGAAGTGGATTTGACGTCACGTTGCCATTAATGCTACGAAGATAGTGGTCAACAATCAGACCAGTATTTCTCTTATAATCCCATCTTTGTACTCGAGCAGTGGCTCTCAGTCACCGTTTGTTTTAATACCTTGAAGCTTAGGTTAGGTTAGGTTAGGTTAGGTTGTATGTACTTGCCCCGTACATAGACCCTAAACTAACGTAATGGTATACAACATAGTACTTACATTTGATGGTGTTATGATTATAGATGAAATATACTTTATACGAAGGAGGCGTAAGAGGAGTGGCAGCATTATGGTCGACGAGGCTGCAGAAAACAGCCCGAGTTTCGAATCAGTTGATGCACATAACAGATTGGTTGCCAACCCTTTACTCCGTAGCCGGTGGAGACCTGCGGGATTTAGGCGAGATCGACGGTATCGATCAATGGTGTGTACTTAGCGAAGGACGTGGAGTTGGCAGAGAGAAACTTTTATTAAATATCGACGAAGTTCAGAAAACCGAGGGAGCGATATATGGACGATTCAAATTATTGAGAGGTAACTGTCATGCTAGCAAAATAAAATTGTGAGCTACATTCCGTGTGAGCAATCACTTCTAAATACCTGTTTCGAAGGTTATATTTTTAATATTAATATTTTTATAAATTATTAGTAATATATTGTACAAACTTTATACATCGATACTTTAGGATGGCGATAAACTGATTTTGAGACACCAAAACTGACAGAACAACAAGAACAGAATAACATGAATACAATATTCATAAAACTAATTTAATTTAGGAAAATAACACCAAGATAACATAACGAAAACACACAGAAACACATTCTAATTTAACTCTCTTTCCAATACCGAGCGACTCACGCTCGTACCAGTCACAATTAATTTCTAAGGACTCTGTTTTGGTCGTCAAGGATCCTGCTTTTATACTTTTCTAACCTACGTTTCACCTCTCCGTAGGGACTATGCAACTTAATTTTGTTACCCAAAATAACTTTTCCATTTGTTTCTAGAAAATATTGATCGGTTTATAATTTATTTTTGTTGGCAATGGCCGATTTGCGATTTGTTTTCAAAATGGTATCCAACGATATAGTATATGAGATTTCAGTACTAGATTCATATCTGCTTGGTTATTATTGTTACATAACCTATTTGATAACTTTATACCGGTACTATGTTATCACGATATTCTCAAACATACTGTATACTTATTTGACGATTTGCTATCAAATCTATGTTGGATTTATTTCCTACTGGTTAGTTCGAATTTTTCTCTAGTGATTTTTACATGGCAAATATATCAACACTAGAACTGTCAATCTATAACGAGTAGCTACATATGATCCGTCCACTGCACAAATTGATTAACTCCATAAAACAAAAAGTGGAGGAATGCAATGAAATAATGTATATTGTTTTTTAAAATTCCCTTTATAATTTAAATCGAAATAAATATTGTAGAATGCATAAATACAAATGTAACTTTCATCTAACGGTATATAAAATTTATAAGAAAAAATAGCCAAAAGGTAATCGTTAGTAATGTTACCATTTTTATGTTACTGGAAGAGTTAATCGATTTGGCAAGTGGAAAAAGTAGTAAATTTAAATTTTACTAAATTTTACTTAAATTCTGATAAGACGGCACTAAAAAATTCGCCGTTATCATTCATGACTTGCTAGTGCATTTGAGTTGCATTATTGCAACGATTTACATTAGAGTACGGAGTTAATCAAAGTGGCCTCTGAAATAAATTATTTATTATTCAGTGGCCAACAAATTTTTGTCGTTTAACGGTGTTCATCTTAATTATCAGGGAAAGTTATTATAAATATAAAAGGTTATAACTATACTAAGTGCTTTGACACTTAAATTTAAGATTTTTCAAAAAGTGGAATTAATCGATTTGTGCAGTGAAACAAAGTGGAGTTAATCGATTTGTGCAGTGAACGTCTCATATATTATACGTAAATGAAGGTAATTGTAGTGGTACGAGGAAGACGACTAACTATAAACAATTACCTTTTGATCTGTCAAAAGCAGTATTTATATGTTCTAGGAAATTGCAAAAATAAAATGTCCGGAAGTCATTCTGACCCTTTGGTAGTTCCAGTATTAATAAATTTAGTGTTATGAAACATATTGAAAGTTTCTTCAAATATCTTTCAAGGTTCTGTCGAAAACGGTTTCTACGATAGATACTATGGCAATTTCGCTAGAACAACGGGGAACGCGTCGTACCAAGAGATGGTAATAAAAAGTGCAGTCTCTCAGAGTATCACCTACCACTTGGGTGGTCCTGTGACACAACCAAGTACGATGACACAATTACGATTAAATGCGAAGATTCGATGCAATCACGATTACACGTATTATAACCACATGGTGACGGCTTGCAATGTCACGGAATGTTTATTCGACGTAGTGAACGACCCATGCGAGACGAAGAACATCGTCAAGGCGTACTCTAGGGTAAGTAACTCGAATGTCCTTATGTTGTCTCAGCTGGTAAAGTTGTCATTGCAACGATGAAATAAATTGAATTCGTTTGATTAACGTTCATACATTTTATACTTACGTATAAACGTAATATACTGCTACGTATTCTTCTCTATTTGCATGGTGCACATTTAGCGAAGGACATCTACTATCAACGAATAAAACATTTGTCATGTCAAAGTTGTTCAGAAGAGTAAACAGTACTTTTTGAAAATTAATACGTTTGTACATTTTTCTGCACTTAGAGAATATTATGTGTTTATTATCGCACGCTTATTTCATAACTGTAATTGTTTGCTAGGTAACCTTCAATTATAGGTTATGTAATACGATGACATGTATTATATCATAAATGTTATCAGAAATGATATTTATCAGAAGTCTGATTATGATGTGTACAATGTAGGGACGTTTACAAAGAAGAGGAAACGTTTTATATCACTGGAATAAAAATATTATGAATTGTTACAATAGAAATTTGTTTAGCAGCCATTGTTGATTAACCATTTTGATTATCGTATCTTTGCAACCACGTCAACGTGTCAATTCGAATTCGATCTTAGATTACAAATGAATTTTGATACTATTCGTAATAATTCTGCAGATAAACAGCTTATAACACTCGTAGCTTAAATGGACAACAAATCAAAGTTGAAATTCTTAAGCCGGGTTTAAGCCGCGCTTACACTACGCGATATAACGACCTTTGTTCAATTCTTAGGTTTATATTAAAGTTTCGATATTTTCTGACATTTTTATCATTTATGATGTTTACTGTGTGAAGCAATACATTTATTGCCACAGTCATCTGCTAAATATAATTTTAGGGCGTTTAAGTATAATTCGATTAACTATAATTAAAATTTTAATTTAAATTTTAACCTAAACCCTGAACCAAACCTAAATCCTGTTTACTTGATTGACACTGCGTTTGTGTGAACGATTTTAAACGATTTAAAATTGGTTGACTCGCGAATGGTTGATCAAAATTTGCTTAATGTAAACGCGACTTTAATACGCGAACAACTAGATCGGTTTTTAAAAGTTGCTTAATCCTAATACATAGATATTATTTAATATTTGCGAAATACAAAATTCGTAAAATTTACAGCTCTCTTTAAATGTGTAGAGAGTATTAGGTATCTTTTAATTTTCTTTTTTATTTTGGATTTTAAATTTCGAGACTTTTGACGTACTGTTTAACTTATTAATTTCTTGCTGAATTAAATATTTATGAAATATTTGTTTGAGGTATAGGAAATGTTTGGTAAGCAGTTTATACTTTCTTTTCATATCGTTATCTTGTCCAAATTTTTTTTAAGTATGCGAGTAATTGTTATTTTAATTATACAATTAAGTATACTTAAGTAAAAATGATTTTTATGTATACAGAGAAAAAGGTAATAGTTATAAAAATTGTGGCAATAATAAAAATATTCTTTTTAAAATTATCTTTTTGTACAATTGCAACGTTATCAGTATCATCTATTATTTATTTTATTAAATTGTTTTCACGATCGTATGTTTCTAATGAAATGGAAATAAGTTTAACTGTTTGCAATAGGTTGATTTCTTTAATTAGCTTTAGATGCATAAAGATATTTGAAACTTTGGTGTTAAGTGATTTACCGAACACACAGTGACACAGTGAGAATTACTTAACCTTGCTTCAGTCTCTGAACTTAATTTACAATTCATGACCAGACTGCTTTTTTCCACATCGAATCATAGTAGTATTATTTATGCGCAGTGAATATCACTTAAAGAAGGAAATATTTTATTTCAGTTTAACTAAAATATTATAAATTATGATAACACAAATTTATATAGATATAATCACTTTTAGTAATCTTAAATTATTTTATTATTAATAACAAAAACCGTTAGTAAATTAATTGTTTAATTAATTATGTAATTACTCTCATATTGGTAGTATTATTTATTCGCAGTGAATGTCACTTAAAGAAGGAAATATTTTATTTCAATTTAATTAAAATATTATAAATTATGACAACACAAATTTATATAATTACTTTTAGTAATCTTAAATTATCTTATTATTAATAATAAAAAACGTCAGTAAATTAATTGTTTAACTAATTATGTAATTACTCCCATATTACAACAATATACAGGGTGTTTCTTTTAATTGAAAAAGATAGAATATAGAAGGAAAAATATTATTGTAAAAAGTGTTTGATTTTTGTAATATCATGTAGCATGAATAATTTTTCTGCAGCTATAGTGATAGGAGAGGTAATTAAAGTCAAGTCAACTGCTGTAAATAGAATTCTAATTTCATATATCTTAATCTTTATTCATAATATAATTATCAAAACAAATACAATGATCTACCACATGACATCGTTTCATACAAAACAATACTATAATGAATTAAATTAGGTTCAAACCAATTAGGTGGTTACAATATTTTTCTTTATAAAATGTTTATAAATGATTCTTATAATGTAAACACATAGAAAATAAATGACCCTATGCTTTCTTACCCAAGGTGCAACAATGTCACGTTAAAAATCCAATTTTTCGATGGTAAATTATCTAGAAGCAATGTACGAAAGTCATTAAGAGTAGTACAAACTGATAAAACTGTAGTAATTAGGTAAAAACCTGATTTACTCGTATTTAATGGCAATTGTAAGAGAAATAATCTATCTATGTCAGAAAGAAAGTCAGTAAAATGACGCATAAGGATTATCGAAGTAGATAAGTTAGAATTTTATCATCAGACTGCATGAAATTATTTTCTAAATTATGTTTTACAACAATTCGATATTATATTTCCAAAAATTAAAAAAATTATTAATGTAATGGTCAGTTGTATTTGAAAATTCACAAATACCACATGAAATAGTACTAAAACAGATTATGAAATTGAAAATAGATAATTCGACTCGTATATGTGTCTTTTATACACATATATGTACATATATCTTATCCAGTATATGTGTACTGGAAGTGTATAGCATAAATTATTCGTAATGCATAGCAATTGCAGCAATCAATAGAAGTAGTAATATAGCAATTAAAGTTAACTTATTCTAGAATATGAAATATTTATATCAACAAATGATCGAACTTTCATTATATCAAAATTAATCACGTACAGTCATTGTTCCCACGCGTCGCGAATGTATCGAAGTTATTTCCTTTTTATGAACTTGTGGGGTGCTCTAGACGTTTTACGATCTAGAGCTGTTAATGTTGTTCGGCAACCCGAATGTTAATCTGTTTCCACCTTACTCCTTTCTTCGGAGTCGCGATGAAGTAAAAGGTTTTAACGTGGTAGTTTGAGAGTTCGAGTGTGACTCTTTGAAGGTTGGAGTTTGACTGTTTGAAAGTTGCAATTTTACTGACTGACCTTTTTCCGCTAGTCAGAGTGCCTCGCCTTGGCATGTCAAGGATGCGCGCTGATTGGTTGTTTAGAAAAATGTTAATTTCCCAATCAGCGGCATCCTAAGTGTCGTGATCACACTTTCCATGCGCCCTTGGCGTGCCTTCTCCTGCAAGGGTGGGATAACTCTTGAGCGGCCGTGAGGTCATGGGTTTTTCCCAAGGGTTACGGTATTCGTCCAGGTCCAATGTGTCGGTAGTTTGTTACCCTTAGCGGGATTTCGAGATGACCCTTCAGAATTACCGAGATTTATAACACGTCCTTTGGCTATTGAGTGTAGGCAAAATGAAGATTTGAAAGAATATTAGTTTCATTGCCCCCCAATATACCTAGAGCCCGACTCTAAAATAGTCTGTCTTTCCGATCGTGTTATAAACCTTGGAAATACCGACCTCACGGCTTATTTAGCGATGCCAAGGCGGGATACTCCATATGCACCGCGTAACAGTAATTTTTGCATATTTTAATATATTTTTATGATTTTTAATATAATTTCGTATGTTTTCATATATTTGTATAACTTGCTAAAATTTTTGTCCAGATTGCCAGTGACTTGGATGCTTATTTGGAACACTACAGCCGTGTGCTAGTGAGGCAACCCAAGGTGCATGTTGACTGGCTAGCAGATCCAAGGAGAAGAAACAACACCTGGGAACCGTGGCTGCAATCAGGAACTGTCGTTCCAAACACCGCAGCAGTAATTGCAAATTTAGTATACCACATTCACGTTTTGATTATTTTCTTTTCAGTATTGCTGAATAACATATTTATCTGATCAGCATTTGCTTAACCAATTGACTACGTTCAATATTATCGTAGCTGAGAACTAAGAACGTTTAATCTAGAGCAGGTCAAGAATTATCGAAAATGAATTGACTTAATTTTAAACAATATGGAGAACTCTTCAAAATCACAGGGTAGTAGTTCAAGTATATATACATATGTAGGATTGGAAATGACTATGGGGTCGAAAGAATGTCGGTCAGTGTGTCAGCCAGAGAGTATGTAAGAAGTCCAAGTCAGTCTAAGAAAGATCAGAAGAACATGCCCATAGCGAATCTTTCTTGTTTCATAGTCGTCATTCTATGTGTAAGCTTATTTTATTTTATTAAGAAGCCATTTTATTAACAATACTATCTTTAGTCAACCCACCCAAATCCAATCCTACATATAATAATTAAATAATAAATCAATCGATTTTTCTTGCTTCCTCTTGCTTTCTTTAACAGTGCACAAGTCTCAAGTTGCCTCTTTCATCTCGTTTAATTAGATTTGATATGCTTTATAGTTGACAGTTTGATGTCTAAATTTATATAATTATAATATATAAATTTAATTATTAATTAATAATTATAAATCGATAAATTTGCATCTACGTTTATTCAATTTACGTAAAATTAGGAGCTTTCAGATGATATTCGATAGCATAACAGTTTCGCTATTAAGACAATAATAACTATCGAAAGAGGCAGAGTAACGTTTATGGTGAGTTCGTTTATGGTGGAAGAAAATGTGAAAATATGGCCGGCAATGCTACTAGCTTAACTCATGAACCATGGCGATAAATGTGATTAACGGGACAGAAATTGAAATAGATGAGATCATATCTACGTCGTAATTAACGATTTTTGCCGACCTTGCTTGGTAATTTAAACGAATAAGTAATTTAAGCCCTTGGAGAGGAGTCTTCCAGCGAGAAATACTCATTACCTGCCATAACTTAAGTTGTTTAGCAGTTTAGCTTAAAGCGTTTATTATTTACAAAGTACGCTAATATTAATATATATATTATATATTATGAATATAAAAGATTATATAATATAATATATTTTTATATATAATTGTAATAACGATATATTTCTCACGATAATTCTGTCAATTCTCAGCAATTTTCATAAAATTTGGCATACCTATAGCTGATCCGATTATACGTACATCGTATGACGAGTCATTCTTTCTATATCGCAATTTTGCAAATTTCAATTCACAGAAAATGATGGAAATCTAAAAATGAACGGAGTAACGATTCGTAACGACTATTACCAGTCATAGATCTTCCGAAATCATGCTAGGTACGTACGTAGTTTTACTTCCTTGATGGAGATTAGCAAATCGTTAATCAATCAAGTCTAATCGAAACTCGATACAGTATTTGGATTGCATATTTATCAAAAAAAAGAAAGAAAAAAAATGCCGAGAAACAAAGTATTACCTTTGTAACAGGGACGTATATGTACCTTAGAGACCACGAGCGAAGTCTCAAAAGAATAAGTATAAGGTATTTTCTGTTTACTTTATGATAGCTTATTTTAATCAAATAAAAATGACATATATATTTGCATTAAGAAAAGTATAACGGTAATTTAAATTTAAATTAATAGAAAAAAGATAATACCGAATTATTAAAAATAGGATGAGACATTTCCATAATAATTATTTTAATAGAATAAAGATAACACGATATTAGCATACATAAATTTAACTAAAACAATATCGAAATGATTCTGTTCAAATTTAAATTAAGAAAAAGACAGTAAGCAGATATACTTTTTCTGCCATTATTTTTAGCAAATATATCTGCAACATCGACATAAACAATCGAATCCATTATATTCGATTCAATACATGACGAAGACAAACGTTATATTTTATATCGAAGCAATCTGCAATGTTTAAAAATAAGTATTTTATTTTACAATTATAACTAAGCTGTTTCTCATGTTGTTGTCTGTGAAAAATAAGTTTTTAACCTCTTGCACTTAAATGACGTAACTTGTTTTTTGGAAACAAATGATGAATGAGGAACAATGACACATATGAATAAAATATAAACACGTTTGTTATGTTATTATATTATATTATTACATTTACATAATATAAAATCAATAAAGTACACAATAAAATTACAATAAAAATAACGTAAAAGTAATATGAATTTGTACATAGTTTCTTTTCAAGATATCGTGAAAAATATCATCGAGTTTGTAGCTAGGAAGCTTCGAATTGGTATATTTTCTGATAGTACAAACTTTCGAGTGCAAAAGATTAAAATGTAGTCTCATAAAGGAGCCCCAACTTGCTCCTAATGTGCTTCGTAGTGAATACAGCCCTGCACTTTAATGTACATATGTAAGTCTTCTGAACGTGTAATTAATTTGTTTACCAAACAACTAGACAGAAGATCCAAGTTCCAAGTTATGTTTTAATATACAATTAATAAAAACAGCGAATAAATATGTTTCACAAAATTGAGTATTATTCTTTATTGCTAATCTATTTATTATTAATAATTACACATATTTATTACATTTATGATAATTAGTAGACTAATACAAATATATAATGCAGAATACATAATTAATACATTATTGTAAATACACATATATACATTAATAATACATTATTCACAGAAACAATAAATTGGCAAATACGTTAATTAAGCCCGATTAATTTGCTTAATTAAAATCAAATACTAAATACTACGATGCTGAAGATCGAGATACAATTATTTTAATAAATTAATATTCGACGAGGAAAAGAGTGTTATAGCAATTTTACAAATATTTACAAATTATCTACACTCTCTATTTTGAATTCATCTATTTCTAGGTTTATCTAGGATAGAAGATCAAACTCACATAGAAACATGAGCCACGAAATGGAGTTTTATGAAGACGAATTGGAAATAAATTGGCAAATACGTTAATTAAGTTCGAATAATTTGCTTAATTAAAATCAAATACTAAATACTACGATGCTGAAGATCGAGATACAATTATTTTAATAAATTAATATTCGACGAGGAAAAGAGTGTTATAGCAATTTTACAAATATTTACAAATTATCTACACTCTCTATTTTGAATTCATCTATTTCTAGGTTTATCTAGGATAGAAGATCAAACTCACATAGAAACATGAGCCACGAAATGGAGTTTTATGGAGACCAACAAGGAGAGTGCAAGTCCTTAGGGGTCATACATTTAGTTGAAACTTTGCAGGTTTGTAGATTTAGTCATCCAGTTCAAGAAAATATATCATTATAAGAGCATTATAAGGGCAACTACTCAATAGTTTTCGAGATATTTATGATTAGAGTTTTATTATTGCCTTAATTACAGATTTATTTCGAATATTTATCAAGTGTCGTTGTGACCTAATGTTCCCACGCTGGTGACAATTTTCGGATGTTGCTGTTAGACCACAATGTCATTTGGTAATTATCGATAACTATTCAGAAGAAATCTCTAGTTAAGAATAATAAAGCTTTAATCATAAATTTCTCGAAAACTATCGAGTAGTTGCCCTTATAATCGTACATTTCCTTGAACTGCTTGACTAAATCTACAAACCAGCAAAATTTCAACTAATTGTAAGTCTAGTTAGTAACCATAAAATTTCAATTAAGTCAATGACCCGAAGGACTTGCACTCTCCTTATAAAACTCACACAGGAAGAAAGCATATTTGAAAGTTCACATTTTGCATTCCCCTTCTTCTTAATAAATTTGCAAAAATAACAAAGATACGAAGAAATTTTGAAATTCCATTCCAGTATCAACTTGCAATTAGTATCAATTTCAATCTCAGCTCTTGTATTCGATATTCCGCATTCTCAGATCCCGTATTCGATATTATTGGTCCAGGCAATGATAATTTTGGTTCAATCGATAGACTTTGACACGAGTATGAAAATTTACGCCAATGCAGTATACTATTCAACTCACTTCTGAGCTCTTCTAAAAATTCTTCGAGTTCGGGATGTGCAACGTCTTTCAAGCATTTGGATGTACCATTAGCTAACATAAATTCTATTGAGATTGGAGTTATGTATGAGATTTATTGGCTGTGTTGGTAGAAGATTCATTGGAGATGGAAGGTTGAGAGGTGCGTGGTTTTCGTGGTAAATAAATAAATTAAACAAGTGAAAAATTAATTAACTAACTAACTAACAAAATAAATAAGTAATAATATCGTAATACGTAATGCAAAATGAGGCTTGAGCATAAATGATATGATACATAGTTGGTGTAAGTGATGATCTATAACAGATGGAATAAAATATGGTATAATATACATACATGGTGTAATAATACTTCATAGATTGATTTTGCTTTCTGTGTTAAACTGGATCTTCCTTATACCATGTCGAAATTGTTGTAGTAAAAATGACCGTAGTAAAAAATTAACTAACAAAATAAATAAGTAATAATATCAATTGATGAACCTGTACTGGCATGTTGAATATTGTCAACACAAGCGAATATATTTATAACATTTGTCGAAGGTATTACCAACTGCTTTACGTAAATAAGACGAAATATATACCTATGCGCATGCAGCTATTGCGATATTTCGAGGTGGGACTAAAAATGTCCCATCATGCATTACGGTGCATCAAAAAGGCGAGATACTTTTAGTCCCAGCGTGCCCCAAAGAGTTAAGGGATATTTTTCTTGACTATCTGAAATGCTTGATAGGGATCTTGTTAACATGAAAACTCGTAATAATAATTTAAACGATTCGCTATAGTCATCTAGTTCGTTTTGCAACTATTGATTGAGGATTAGTAAAAGGATTAGTAAGAGGATCAACAGTGACACAATTATCGTGAATTCTACCGATATCTTTGTTTATCACTGCAATTCTTTCAGTCTATTTTATTTATTAAACGATACCGCGGTATCAATTGATTATAA